GTACCACACAGGTTGCTAAGGCAAGGCCTCAGACCCTGGGGTGCCCAGATGCCCATGTGTGGGTAGAGGGTGAGAGTTCAGACTTGAGCACATGTCAAGGGTAAGGACAGTTGTTCTCAGAGATCAGGCTGGTGCTTCCCCAAGCCATTTTGTGTCCCACCCTTAACGCTGAGACATAGCTAAACTTGAAGGTGGAGACCGGCAAGGTTGGTAGGACAGGGATGAAGACATACTCTGTCTTCTGAATACCTGGCATCTGGTGCCACCATGCTGTCATCAAATGGGGAGCCCAAGGAAGGAAGCTTAAACTTGGGTGCAGGACATTGGTTAGGACCAACTGGTTTTTTTCCCAACTGGTCCCAGCACTGACTGCATTCTTCCCTCTCAGCCTGTCCTGTTCATTCACCCAGAAAGAGCTCAAATGCTGTGAGCTGTGCCAGGACCTGGGCTGCAAGGGAAGCTAGTGTCCACTGCAGAAGACAGACACTGAGCCAGGAACCCTGCACCACTGCACACATACATTCTGTGAATCTTTCTCCTTGCATTTTCTAGAGGAAAATGAAATTGAAACAGCATCCTTCTAGTAGGACAGCTGTGCAGTGGAGAAAGGGAAATGCTCAGACCTCTGAGGGTTGCTAGACAATGGCTTTGAAGTGATGCTAATTCACGGAAATAACAATGCCACTGTTCTGCTGTCAGAGGGAGGCTTATGTTGGGGAAATGATAAATGGTGCTTGGCCCAAGTCCCATAGCGGGTGCAGTTGGTCATGGACCCACTTGCTGTCGTTTACCCAGTGGCTCACAGTAGCCATTTGAATGTACACAGCAATGGAAGAGCCGGCACCTTGTTTCCCAAAATGCACAGAGGATGAGCAGTGTGGTCAGAAGGAACACATGGAAGCCCTTGGGATTTGCCTCCCTTCTAGGAAAATAAACCCAAGGCAGCACCACGTCCCTGGGGGGCCTGCAGAGATGAGTGCGATCAGAAACTTGTAAGATGTGGGAGTGGAGAGAGTGGCAGGGTTTTTGCAGTAAACCCTGGACAGCTTCCTCTTTTTGAAGAACCAGACGAGCATTACAACCCCATTTAAACTGAGCTGTGGAGCTTTCCTAGCAGACAGCCGGGCCACCGACTCCCAGAGGCACAGTCCGCGGGGACCCCGGCAGCAGCTGCTCTTTCACACATGGCGCCTTTCCCTTTTCACCTGCAGCAACTGACCTGACAAACACTATTGTTTTCTCTTTAAGTTGCAAGGACCAACAGGGCCAACAGGAAGCCTTCACGGTCTTGCCTTCGAGCTGTGTTCACTTTTCTCCTCTGTGCCAGGATCCCGTCTGTGCAGAACTTTGCTATCTGACATCCTGCAAGGTGTCATCCTAGCCCCTGCCATTGCTGGATTGTGCAGGTTGGATTTGATGGTCAGGAAGTAACGGAGTTCCTTAGCTGCGTTAGCCAACCCTGGCTGCCAGAACACAACGCCGCACCCTGGGGGTCTTAAACAATCACATTTATTTGCTCTTAGCTGTGGAGGCCAGAAGCTATGGTCCCGCAGGCCTGGTCTCTGGAAGAGGGACTGGGCTCCTCTCCTCATCTTTCAGACAGCTTCTTTCTCATTGTGGCCTCTATGTGCCCCAGAGGAAGATCTGGTGTGTCTTCTTACAAAGACATGAGTCCTATATGTTGCTGGTGGCATATTTTATGGAACCAAGAGGGGGCAGGATGTGGCTGAAGTCAGAGACAAAAAGATATCCACAAATTTCATCTTGTGATGAGTTCCAGACACTGTATCCCATGAGCTGAAAGCATCTGGAACATCCAGAACAACAAGGAACCAATGTGGAGATCGATTAGTGATGCCTGTCCAGGTGCTAAGTGGAGGATGGCCCATCTGTAACGTTTGCCAGTTCTGGCTAACATCTGTGCTATGCCTTTACCAGCTTGTTCTGGTTCTTTTTTAACCTCCTGAGTGCTGGGAGGCATGCACCACCAGCTTCTATTTGTTGTCTTGAACAAAAACTTCATCTTCCCAGTCTGCCTTTCCGTTCTGTTCTTTGATTCCTGGACTTGCTCAGCCAAAGCTTTCTTGGTCATCCAACAGAGCCCAGGTGTAGAAGTAGCTCAGAGGCATTTGAATGGCCTTTTAGGATCCCCAGTCACCCCAAAAGCAGACCTTTACTCACTCTTTGTTTTTTTCTCTGGACAAATACTAAATGTGGACCTATTACCTGCAGGTGCCAGAAGCAGAAAACACCAAGAAACAGCTGAGAACAAATATTAAACACTTGCTGGAGAAAACAAAAACCTCTACTGTGAGCCGGCGAACTTGGTAGCATGGTGGAAGGTGACAAGCACCACTAGAGACAGAGCGGCTGTGTTCCAGAGCAGGACTTGGGCCAGAAGAGCGGGGGAGGAGGGCACGGTGTGTCGTGGGGTCGTCCGGGTGGGCATGGCTGAGGAGGTGCGGCAGGAGCATGTGAGTGGGTGGTTGGCCACAGGGCTGTCGAGGGGGAGGTGTGCTCCAGGCAGAGGCAAGGCCACTGCAGAGACCACAGGCTGGGACCCACAGGCCAGAACAGGGAAGGGAGGCAGGTCACAAGGGGCGGAGCCTTGGTGCACAGTGAAGACGGGGCAGAAAGAGGGGACTAAAGCAGACCCCTGGGTGTTGGTCTCAGCAGCTGGGAGCTCCAAGTTGCAGTTAGGAGCAGAGATCCAGGGGCTACAGAGGCGAGCTAGGCTCCTGGGTGGACCAACCACTCAGGTCAGACACGAAGACTTCAGGGAAACCCAAAGGCTAGATCCCCCAAAGAGGAGCATAATTGCCTTCAGTGCTCTTACAGACATGTCACTACCAGGAAACAGGAGGGGACTGAAAATCAACACCAGACCCAGGGCCCAGTGAGCTCTGTCCCAAGCCACTGTGTGTCCTGTGAGTCTACCCATCTCCTGGACAAAGAGCTTCCTTCCCTCTGAATTTCCTCCCCCCAACCTCATTGAGTTGCAAGATGCTTCCATTCTTGTGGTGCCCTGGGTGTGCTAAGGAATTTGTGTGCTGTTCCTCCTGCTAAACTACTCCCAGTCATGCCAGTGAAACTCTGCAGGGTAATGAGGAAGTTCCCTTCACCCCCAAGGTCAAGCTTGATGCAAAGAAAAGGAGGATCTGATAGGGCTGTATCCCAGAAATCTCTCCTCCTTTCCTGGTAGATATTTGCTGTTACATTCGACAGGGTTGGACCCCCAGAATGTTTCTATGGCTCGGTAATTTGACAGGAATTTCTTCCTGTCCTCAAGGTCAGTCAGCTACATACTCTCCTCCTATCACTCCCAGTGCAGGGTCAGCTGCGCCTAGGTCCAACTCTTCTTGAAACATTAAATTTCTAGCTTCGGAAGCTCACACTCCATTTTCTTTTGCTCTTGGCCAGAAACACAACCATTCCTCTCTTTTCCCGGGGAGGAAGAAGCTAGGTCTTAGGACACAGCCACTCTTGAGCCAGCTTTTCAGCACAACCACTGTGGACGCTAAAGCATTTCTGCACAGGGCCAGGGCCCCACACACTCCTTGCTTCCTGCGCTCTAGCTCCCTGCTCAGGCCCTTCATCAGCCAAAGAGATGAGCCAAAGTCAGCCAGCATTTATGCCAGCGAATGACTAGGGCTCCTCTAGGAGAGTAGGCATCTCCTTTTCTTTTTCACAAGTCCCAAATTACAAGCTGAAAGTTGCTCCCTGCTGTAGCACACAACCGTGTGAAAAGTAGTGCTTCCTTGGTTATGTGACCAGTGTTTCACACCATGGACAGCGCCCCGGTGGCCTAGCTTCCTGATAAACTGGCACCTGCTTCCACAAAGCGTCTAAGCCAGACAGGGTCAGAAAACTCCAATGCACTGGAATTGCTGCTGTGCAAGAATATATTTAAAAGTGGGACACAGTGCCTAAGGACTGAAATTGGCAGAGGAGATGGGCATGTGTCTGCTGGTATTGAAGTTCCCTTCTCTGTGGCTGACACTCACCCACACACCTGGCACAGGTGACCAGCTCACCCTGAACACAGCACCCAGGGCGTAGGCACAAGGCTGGGCCCTATGCTGCGGGAGTGGACAGCCAACCTGGGGCCAGGGCACAGACCAGCAGGAGACCCAGGCTGGGCTCAGACCACCCAAGGGGGAAATCTTGGGAAGAGGACTTAACTCGCTGAACTACACTCTTCCTGCCCGTCAAGTGGGGAGGCTCCCTTTGGAGGTGCTGGGGGTCAGAAGCATTGTGTGAAGGCCTCTGTAGACAGATGCTCATTGTTCTAGAACCACTTATCTTACTTAGTCATGTTTCCCTTCACCGCTTCTGGTTTAGCTTTTTAAAAATGTTTCTTAAATGTAGCTATTTCCTCCTCCTTTGTGCTTAGCACCTCCACCCCCAACACACACACACACATGATCACATCCACTCCCCTACTTTCTCATACTAACACACAATCGCCTTCACACTCACACTCAAGCATTCATACTCCTCCCCCACACATGTTCATGCACATGCTTACACATGCACTCACACGCTCACAACACGCACTCTGAATTTCAGCTACCTCTTCCCTCTCCTGATCCTCAGAGACCAAACACAGAACCAGGTACACTGATGCTTGGAAAACCAGAGAGACCTCTGTCTCTACCACATTCCAGACTTCCAGTGCTTTTATATTTTTCCAGCTCTAAGTAACTGAGTCATCACTTCTTGTCCTAATCTCTGAAGCCTGTGGATGTCATCTTGCATGGCAAAGGGGGATTGTAGATATGATCAGGTTAAGGATGTTCAGGACTGTGGAGCAGCTCTGTGGATAGAGCACTTGCCTAGCATTGTGAAGTCGTAGATTCAATCTCCAGCATTGCAAAAAAATTTTTTTTAACATTTAAGGATCTTTAGTGAGAAATTATCCTGAATTATGCAGGTGAGCCCAATGTCACAAAGGTCCTTATGAGGCTATAACATTAAGTAAAGTAAATCAGACACAAAAATTTAAATATCACATCGTTTATCTCGTGTAAGAAACCCAAGTTATGATTAAAGAGAAAAATAAACAATCGGAAACAGGGAGGTAGGTCTTTGGCAAATGGGAAGAGATGGGGCAGGGAGGCGAGGGGATGAAAAGAGGAATTAAGGTGTGGTATGCACACACTTCAACTCCGCACAAGGAGGGCCGTCCGTACTGCAAACCTGGACTAGTAAAAATGTTAAAAATTGATTTTTAAAAGAGCGAGGCAGCAGGCTCCCTGTTGGCAGAAGACGTGTGGTAGCGGCAGAGGATGGAGCGGTTTCTTTGGGGAAGGAGAGCGGGACGTCGACTCACAGGTTTCACCCCTGGGTGTGGACAGGGAAGGAGGATAATCATCTCCTCAGGGCCTCCGGAAGGTAGCAGCCGTCTGCATCTGGGCTGTAGCCAGTGAAACTGAGTCTGGACTCCTGCCCTCCAGAACTGTCAGATAACGAACGCACATGATTTCAAGTCACCAAGTTTGTGATAATTTATTGCAGCAGCCATAGGAAATTAAAATATCAATTTTTAAACACCATATGTATGTGTATGCATGTTTGCTTTCCTTTCTGGCCAAATGGAATCATGGAAAGTAGGTTCTTGTGCATCTTCTGTATATTTTTTATATCAGTCCTTACAGATTTACCTTTGTAAAGGTTTATGGTATTCTTTTGCAGGAGTGAACATATTGTACATAATCTACTCTAAACAGGCATACAAAGTGTAATCAAAATATACAGTAAAAGATGAAATTTTAAAAATTATTACAGTAAGAGACACATTGGCATCAATCTACTTCAGAATCCTCCACCTCACTTGGACACACTCATCATCCACAGCACTTTCTGAAGCAGTTCAGGAGTGCCACTGTGTGAGTGTCTATGAACTGTGATCAAAAACGCAGCAAATGCTGCTGCCGAGTGCCAATCAGCACGAAAGCACGATTGTGAAAACATCACAGGGCGTCCTCACTTACCTTATTACCACGCCTGGCATTGTGTGGTTTCTGGCTCTCCCCCCAAGTCAAAATGACCATGAAAGACAAACATTTTGAATTGATTCGGGACAGTTGAAGAAACTCACGAAAGAGGAGTTCTGGAGCTGCTTCAGAAAGCAGCAAGAAGGATGAGATAAATGTGTTCAAGGCCAGGGGGAGTATTTAGAGAAGGTCGATACGTCTTTTAGTGTAATTATTTGTTTTTATTTAAACATTCACTGTAGCAGTTGAAGGTTGAAGGCTGGAAGCTCGCTGCAGGTGTGTCAGAAGGCTGCAGGAACTGGACACAGAGGTTAAGGACAATGGTGAAGACTCCAGCGCCTCCAAAAAAGGGAAACATTTCCTTCTCCTTTCTTTTTCCTCTGTCTGAACTACAGGCCTGGCTGGTGCTACCTATATCCTCGTTGGGTCTTCCCTCCTCAGTTTGTGGGCCCACCTGTCAATCATCCATGGACACACTTACACCTTCACTAATCTGCTAGGCAGTTCTTACCCAAGCCAAGTTGACATATCACAGTGAACAATCACAATCTACCCCTTGTCAACTTAACAATTGGATGCATCTTTTTCAACCATGTTTAAGCTCCAAATACAACAGCAAATTCATAATACCCCTAACAGGATAGAGCTACCCTGCATACACACAGAGATGCAGCAGTTCCTTCCCCAGGATACAAGGCAAAGCTTTTCTTTGGGTGATGCTTACACTTCTCCTGATATTCAGTAACTTGAACATTCCAATATAGGTGTAACAATGCGTAAGAGGGGCTGGGGATTTAGCTCAGCGGCAAAAGCGCCAGCCTGGCAAGCGCAAGGTCGTGAGTTCGGTTCCCGGTACCGGAGAAAAACCAAAAAAAAAAAAAAAAAACAATGTGTAAGAACTGACAGGGCTGGGTGCAGTGGTGCATATCTATAATCTTAGCACTCTTGGGAGGCTGAGACAGAAAGATCACAGGTTACAGCTCAGTTGGGGCAATTTAGTGCCTTAATGTGACCCTGTCTCAAAATTTCAAAATGCCTGGGGATCTCAGTTGCAAAGGGATTGCATTCAATCCCCAGTGCTTCTGAGAGAGAGACAGAGAGAGAGACAGTCAGAAAGAGAGACAGAGACAGACAGAGTCTGACAGAGAGACAGAGACAGAGACAGACAGACAGAGACAGAGAGACAGACACAGACAGAGATAGAGACAGAGAAGCCAGTATTATTAAGCCAATCATTGATACAGTACAATCAATGAAAATAAAGATACCTGTTTAATATATATGTGTATATGTGCACATATATTAAGGAAAGAGATACCCATATGGTTACAATCTTTATTCCTGTAACTTGTCACATGGTCATAGCTGGTATTTATAACCACTTTCTACCCACTGTGTATTCTGTTGGCTGTCAGCAAGCACCTCAGCAGATCTTGGTTCTTTTCCCGGCAGGATGACCCATACTTCATTCCTGAAGGTTCTGGGCCATTTGTCATTCTGCTTGGACTGGGTTGTTGTAGTTTCCCACTGACCTTCACAACAGGACATAGTGCTAGGAGGCACGCTAAGGGATCTCCAGCACTCTGAATACATTTCACCTCTCCTCCACTGTGGAATAACAATCTAATTTCCCCTCGGCAGCTTGGATCAGTTTCCCCCAGCACTGTAACTCCCTTTTTAGCTTGTTTCCTCAGGGGCATGAAGAGACAAAAATGACCTCAGGGAATTCTTAGCCTCCAGTTCAGTGGGATCTTTGTTGTGCTTCCTTCTACAAGCCTTCCCCTCTGTCTGACTACCTCCCCTTCTTCAGCACAGCCTGACCTCTGGTTGGGTAGAAGAGGAGGCCAGCTGGACCAGGCCTTTGCTAATCCAGTAACATGGGCATGATTTACTTTCCTCTCCTCTCAGTGTCAACACACCAGGTTGGGACATACAGGGAGCGCAGGTTGAAATTTCCTAATGGGCCATGCTGACCTCAAAGGTGACTTTAGAAGCCTGCCCCTTCTACCGTTCTCAGGGGTCCTGTGAGGTTGGTAACCCTTAGCTGTTCAATTCTGTTTTCTATTTCTAATATTGTTTCTCTTTTCTTCATCAGCTGTATTAAGTTTTTCAAGGGATGAATCTTTTGCTTTGTGGGTTATTTCCTGTTGTGTTTCTTTTCTACTTCCTAGGTTCGTGCTCTTGTTTATGTTGCATTCTTTCTTCCATTTAAAAAGCTGCCATTCTTTTTCTAATGTCTCAAGATCATGATGAAACCATGGATTACTCACTTTTGATCCTTCTTTTCTTGTGACACATGAATCCCGGGCTGCAAATTTTTTTTTTAGCATGGCTGAAGTCTTTACCATAAATTTTGATATCATCATAGTCATCTAGTTCTAAATATTTTCACTCATTCCTACTTTACCTGTGGGCTATTTAGAACTAAATAGCTCAATTTACAAAAACTGGAGTTTTTCCCACTTCTTTCCCCCTAGATTATTTCCATTGTGATCAGAGAACAATCTCTGTAATATTTTAATTTTTAAAAGTTTTGAGGCATGTTTTACTGCCCAGTCATGACTGATTTTGGTAAATGCTTCATGTGCAATGAAAAAGCATGTGTAGAGTGGGGATATACTAATAATTCCATTTGCTATATTGTTAAAATTGTCCCCTTTTTCAGCTTGGAAATAAATATTAACATTTACCATTATGATTGCAAATTCATCTATTTATGCTTTATAAATTGTGCTTTATATATATTTTGTGTATGGATTAAGGTTTATAATGTATGCTTAGCGGTCTGACCCTTTATCCTATTCAAATGTTTACCGCCTGAAGCATGGCTTGGCTTAAACTTGACTTTGTTTGACATTGATATAGGTGTACTAGCTTCCTTTTGGTTTGATGTCTCTGCCACATCTTCTCACATTCAACTTTCCATGTCCTGATTTGTAAAGTCTGTGTCGTGAAAGTAGTACATAAGTGGGTCTTAAAACCGTCAATTTACAGCACAAATCTTTTCCTTGCAATATTTATGCCATTTCTATTTAATCTACTTCCTGATGTAGTTGTGTTTATATCTACTATGTTACAATTTGCTTTCAAGTAATCTACCTGCTTTCTGGGCTTTTTTCTCTTTTATGACTTCCTATAGCTTAATCAAGTGTTCATCTCGTTTTGCTTTTTTCCCTATATTAACACCCTGGTGACACATTCTTCCTCCGTTCCTACCCTGGTTATTTAGCCCATTACATTTTTGCTCCAGGAACCAGGTCTGTGAACGACAACTTTCTACAGTGGGGCATGGGGTGATTTGGGGGTAATTCAAGTGTATTACATTTATTACATTTATTGTACACTTTATTTCTATTAGTAGTATACATATAATGAAATAGGTATACAACTCACCATAAGGCAGAATCAGGGCGACCCTATGTTTGTTTTCCTGCAACTAGCTGGTCCTACCTGAGGGTGAGAGGAGACAGTGACACTGGAGTGTGTGGCCTGTGTCCAGTCTGCCCTGTGATCTTGTCTAGGATGCTGTCTCTCCACAAAGACAGGCCACCGGATGTGGAAGTAGGCTTTTCAGTGCTTCTGTGACAAACTCAGCATATTTCACCTTGACTTCCATCTAGAACATGTGGATATTTGAGGTTGCTTCAAACTCTGTCACTGTTGTTTGTGATCTCAAAGTGTTGAGCCTCTTCTAGCACAAAGTTGACTCACCTGGCTTATTCACAAATGGGTTGCAGATCCATTTCTTCCCAGTTCAGAAGGCTTTTGTGGGTGGGAGGTAATGCTCAAACTCTTTTGCAAGCTGCGACAGGTGATCATGCAGCAGCTAGAAAAAAGAAATCCCTGGCTTAGTCTCTTTTAAAATCTCTGCTAATATTTGAAACATGTCAACAATTCCAGTGTTCATTAGTTGCCCCCATAATCCACTTGAACTTTGAATGCAGCCGCTCTGTCTGCCAACTTGAACACAGTTGTCATTATCCTCAGAAATGAGAGATTGAGTTTGTTGAGCAGGTTCGATATGTCACATAAGTAAGCAAGATCTTCAGCCTGCTCTGTGTCACTGAAGTGTGATGCTAGTAGAGACCGTTTTTCTGAAAGAAATATCTAGAGCAGCTCCACTGACCCAAAAACTCTGGCCAGGGATTTAACTTTGGAAAGCCTTTTCACTTCTGTGTAGAAGAGAAAGCATGTGTGCTTTTGCACCCTCCATTTTCTTTAGAGCTGTGTGAACAGATGTGAGTTAAGGACATGAAATTTAATGTGGTTTTTAATTTTAGTCACATCCTGCAAAATGTTGTTAAATTCAGGTGACAGTTTGGGCTAACCAGCACAATGCATAGATTCACATTCAGAAGTGACCTCTTTGACCTGAGTAGTGAAACCAGAAAGCCACCCAGTCCTGGCAGCCACTCTGTCCATGCAAATAGCAACATAAAATGACTCAGTCAGTTTTACAGTTGGGTATTCATTTACAGACTTGAATAGTTCTGTAGCTGTGATGTGGGTTGGCAATAAGAAGACATATAACACAGCCTCACGCAATCCTCCTGAAAAATATGTCACACAACAACAAGTATTGTTGCCTTATTGGTAACATCAGAGGACTTGTCAGCCTGGACTGGACACCACTGGGACTCAGTGATCCTCCCTAACATTGTGTCTTAATAGCCCCTGTTACTTCATCACTTTGTCTAGTTATGGTGCTAGCTGACACATGGCATTTTTGGGACTACAGCCACTCCTAAAAGTTCCTGACAAGTGTCCTTAGAAGTGCAAGAATCACCTGTTGCAGTGAACCTGCGATTTAGGTAGAACTCTTGGTATTTTAGGTGAAACTTTCTTTCTGTTGGCAATAAGAGTTCACTGGTGTCCCTCTTTTAGGTCTTTTCTGCTTTTCAAAGAAGGTCTCCAGTGACATTTGTTTTTCACTCACTTTGTCTAGGGTTAGCTCATGGGCTTGTATAACTATGTTCCAACAAAAGTATGCAGTGTGAGAAGTGGTAAAAAAAAAAAAAGTGGTTAAAAAAAATAATAGGCAGGCTACACAAAGACTAAATTGTCAGATTCTTGAAGCCTGCCACCAGATGCAGCTGTATGGTTGAAATACTCAACTCACTTGCCATGCATAGACCACCATGAAACGTAGCTCAGTTGCCACTTGCCATTCACTGATAGGGTTTTGACCTGGGTCTGCAAGCAACTGGTTTATTGTGGTCTCCGTGCAGCCAAACCTCTCTGCTGATGTTCATCTGCATTTGCAGCTGTTTCTCAGCACTAGCATCATTGCCTCAGCTCCACCTCAAGTCGTCAGGCATCTGATTCTCATATGGAGTACACAACCTAGATCCCTTGCACATGTGGTTCACAGTGGGGCTTGAGCTCCTGTGAGAATTTAATGCTACTAACAACAGGAAGAGGTGAGGCAGCGATGGGAGCTATGGGGAGTGGCTCAGCTTTATTTGTGGGCTTGCTGCTCACCTCTTTCTGTGCATTCCAGTTCCTAACAGCCATAGACCAGTACCTGTCCATGGCCCGGGGGCCAGGGACCTCTGATCTAGGGCACTTGCTATTTCATGAAATATGTGTAATCTTACAATTATATATATATTCACAATGACAAATTGATAAATATCAAAATAAAAGTACAAATTAATATTAGACAATCATGAGTCAACCCGTTAGTATGAGGTGTATGCCTGGTAAAGGCTAAGGATTGTATTGCTTCTTGTGGGAGGAAACCATACTTTCTTTGTATGGTTCTGGTGAGAGTTAGCAATGGAGATGCATGTAAGATTTAGATGGTGGAGGTTGTTATCCTGAGAAGTCAGGAGTCATGAGTCTCAGAAGGCTGTCATGGTCATAAGTGATGGGTAAATGCAGAGACCACTACCAGCTTCTCTTCATTCTCCCCTGCTTGAGAGTCAATTCTGCTGCTTGCGGCTGGCCTTGCCGACCGACTGTGACCCTGTGCCACCCCTAAGCCTGTGGCTGGGAACCTGCACAGGTGGCAGAGTTCCGCAGAGGCAGCAGTGTCCCTAGGCATCATTTAAAGCTTGCCTTTTGGCCCCTGCCTTCTGGCAGAGCATGCAGATTCCTTGTTTACCAGCACAGTTTTCTGAGTGAGTTGCTGAGTGGCTGCTCCTCCAAGCCACTACCTCCGTCTCTAGGCCTTCTCTATTCCTAGAGAGCTCTGTGCTTCCATGGTGCTGAACATGGCCTGAATTGGTGACACCATTCTGATGGTCCCATGAGGCTAGGGGACTTGAATAGAGCATAGAAGAACCTCTGAGGTTGCCTGCCCGTACAGCTCGGGAGTAACACACAGCTTGTGATGAGTATCATTAACAAAACAGAATGCTACAAAAAAAAAGGCAAACATGATTTAGAAATACTAAGAAAAGGGAGAGAAACAGGACTTTATGCTGTGTAAACTGAGAATCCTGATGAAATAAACGCTGTGTTAGCAAAACACAAATAACTGAAATGAATTTGGTCAGAAATAGAACTCTAGAAAAAGAGGTCTAGAAAACTTAAATTTATCAGAAATCTGTCTGCAGTGTTGCTATGGTCAAGTAGTTTTATAAACCATTATCAAGAAATATTTAAGAAAAAGTATCACTATTTAAACCACATCAGAATATCACGTGGGAAAAATATAACAAACCATGTCTGCTAACTGCTAGCACATTCCACATAACGTACTATGCCTGCACAGATTTAACTGCTGGAGAATGTGGGTTATGTAACAAATGGAGCTGTCTTGCATTCTGTAATTTTTTATTTTTGCCTTTTTTTAATTTTAAATTTTTCATTTTCTGGAAAAAAGGTAAAACAAAATTTCATAACAAGATAATGGGAAAATAACAATAGTTAATACATGCATGCTGTTATCTTTAAAGTAGTTGCTCAGAACGCAAGGTATGGGCATGAAAAGTCTCCAAACAATATTAGCACAAACCTTCCCTTTTGATGAACTAAGAGACTCTATTAGTGTAACTGACTTGCACCTTTTTCCCTTCCGTCCCTTTCTCTTTCCCCCACCCTAGTTCCTTTTTCCTTTTGAACAATTTCATCCCATTTCACAATATCTATCATACATTTTAGATCTTATTTACTCTTTCAGTTTCTCACACTAGGGAGACAACACGATGTTTATGTTTATACAAATGAGTGATTTTTTTCACTGATGAGTATGGTCTCAAGTTGTATCCATTTAAAGATAAGAGCCTCAAGTTTATCCTTCTTTATGGCAGAGTAATACTTCATTGTATAAAAACACATCTTTTTCACCCATTCCTCAGTTGATGGGCATTGTTCTATAATTCTTAAATGAAAAATAAATCAAAGGAGAATGGCTATGGGACATTTTGAGAAATATTTTGAAAGTATTTGATAACATTCATTTGTTAATTTTTAGAATGGCTTCTAGAGGTAGGAATAGAATGTAATTTTTAATAATCATCCAGTACAGTGGTACCTTGGTTCATTGTCTTGGTTACTTTTCTCTCTTTGCTTGGACAAAATACTTGATGCCCAAAATTAAGGAAGGAAAGGTTTATTTCGCTTACAGTTTGTGGAGGTTTCAGTCCATACTTGGTAGGTTACAAGGCGAGTGGCACATGGCAGAGGGCTACAGCTCATGGCAGAAGAACACAGCAAAAGCAACAAAACACAAAAGGGAGGAATGGCGGCAAGCAGCCTATTGCTCTCCCTTACATATGCAAACTATCCACCAGGGCGGGTGTAGCTCTCACACCTACAATCAATCAAACTCTAAAAGCCCGCCATGACCGCCTGAGGCTTTGGGGGGACACACAGACACAAACCGTAACATTCGTGAACTCAGTTCTGTGCACAATTCTGGTCACAAACCAAACCAAATTTCCTCACAAGGTCAGTGTGGAACCTTACCATTGGGTCTGATTCAGTTTTTTCCAACTCTGGGATCAGAATCATGGAAAGAATCAAGTTTGTGAACCGAGGTACCACTGTAACCTACTGGAAATCAGCATAAAGTATGTTTAGCAGTGGAAGTACGGGGCCTCTCCTTGAAATCAAGAAAATGCCTATTACTGCTAGTATGATTCATTGATCTGAAAATTTTAGACAATAGTGTAAGAAGAGGAAATACTAAGATTATCTGTCTTCAGGGAAGATTTGATCATATTCCTGAAAAACACAAGAAATCAACTAAATAAAGCTCTAGTTAGGTTGTTGGTTACTGATCCAATGCACAGAAATTAATAACCCAACTTGGCAGCAGTAACTAGTAAAGTTTTAAAAGCCATCACATAGTTTCCATAAAAAGCATAGGAATTCTAGCAATAAACTTACCAAGAATGTGCAGAGTCCTTGAGAATTAATCAACATTTTATTTTCAGACAAAAGTTTTGAGTAAGTAAAAGATAGTATTCTTTTGGGTAGGGGATTTGTGTTAATTCTTAATATATTTAGTACAATTTGATAAGATTAATTTATAGAATCTAAAACGCACTATAATTTAATATTTTGAAATTTATAAGACACCATCAAGGTTTCATTTTGAACTTAATAAAATTATTATAAGATTTAGCTAGACTAATACATTTTCTGTAATATGTAATTTTTAAAAATTCAATTGAGAAGGGCATCTTCTTTACTAGATTTTAACTTGTTATAATCTAATAAGTAATATGTACTTTTCTGTTCAAAAAGTGGACAGACAAATCACTGGAACAAAAGGGAAGCTTTAGAGGTATACTCAGGTGTTTGCAAGAATTTTTAGGTCATAACCTCAATCACCGGAGTGATAGTGTATGGACTAAATGACCAACTATTTAGGAA